TGGCTTACAATGCTAACTGTAAAAATAATATCCGATCTTGTAAGAGATAGGTAAATAAGCTTTCCTACTAACCGTTGATAATGTTCCTTGTCAACGGTAACACTTTCTCCATTAGTTTAAAACTTCAGATTCTACCCCAGAGGTGTCTCAGCAGGCTTACAACCTGTCATACTAGTCTCTGAGAGTAAGTCCAAGATATACTTTCGTTGATTAATTACAATTCCAATGTTTGATCTAGCCACCTCCATACCGAGGAAGTTTTGCAAATAACCAAAGTCCTAGGTTTCAATTTCGGTTGCCAAAAAGGCTTTAAGTTTATGGATTTCCAAGGAATCATCACACGTGACGGTTATGTCATTAACATAAACAATCAAAATAGTCTTTTTATTTTATGAAGAAGTCTTAACAAACATAGTAGGGTCAGATTGACATTGAAGATAGCCAAATTTCAGAATAGCCTTGGTAAACCTATCAAGCCAAGCTCTAAGTTTGTTTAAGGCCATATGGGGATTTCAAAAGATTACATACCTTGTCTAGACTAGAGTTTGTGTTTAATCTAGGAGGTTGTAGCATATATACCTCCTCCTCCAGGTTGTTCCATATAGCCAAATTAAGAAAGACATTCTTAATGTCAAGTTCGAAAGGCTAGCAAAGATTTGCTGCAAGTGATTAGGGGTGTAAACGAGCCGAGTCGAGCAGTGCTGAGCTCGACTTGACTCGAAAACTCTGAAATGAAGCTCGACTTGACTCGAAAATTCGCGAGCTTAAAATTTTCAAGCTCGACTCGAACTCGAAATCCTAAACTGAAGCTCATGAGCAGCTCGAAAAGGCTCGAAATGAAAAGAAAAAAATTCTTAAACTTAACTCGATTTAAGCTTCAAACTCGAACTTGAATTTTAAATACATGAAAATCTTACTGTATTTTTAAAAAAATCAATACATAAATATTAATATTATTAATAATTTATTTTTTTAAAAAATAAAATCTTAATATATTATGTTTTCGAGCTGCTTATGAGCTTTTCGAGTCGAATATCAAGTAACTCGTTTCAGCTCGTTAAGAACTCAAGTCGAGATCAAGCTCGAGTCGAGTCCATTCGATCCGGGTATTTATCGAGCCTTGATCGAGTCGATATCGAGTAGCTCGCGATCTATCTTGTCTCATTTACAGCCCTACAAGTGATAACAAAATCCGCACTTTATTGAGCTTTGCCGCGGGAGCAAATGTCTCTTGATAATCAATCCCATAAGATTGTGTGAAACCCCTTGCTACCAACCTAGCTTTGAACCTCTCAATGCTCCCATTTGCATTAGATTTCACCGTGAAAACCCATTTACAACTCACTGCCCTTTTTTTCGAAGGTAAGTCGACCCAGGTCTTGTTATCTTTAAGTGCTTGAATTTCCTCTTCAACAACCTTTTTCCACCTCAGATCCTTTAAAGCTTCATTTATAAACTCAAGAATATGCACTTGATTAAGTTTAGCAGTAAAGACATTGAATGAAGGCATAAATTTTCCCTGGGTAACATATCACTATATAGGATGATAAGTGCACTTTCGGACACCTTTTCTTTGAGCAATAGGTAGAGTAGATGTATAAATTTTACGAGCAGTGTCAACACTTGAGAATCCATACCTTGCTCATCATGTAAAGGAATTGGAGTCGGGGCTGGCTCTTGAGCAGTCTTAACCGGTGTAGTAACATGTGGAATAGGCCTTTTCCTCCTTGTATAGACACTGAGTTCTCTTTATTCAAGTCGAGTTGCTGAAGGAGGGTTTTCAGGTGTAGGAGAATCTGGTTCAAGTTGGAGTATAGGTTGGGTTGATTGTGATATAGAAATAGGGTCATCAAGAGGTAGCCGTATTGTTTGAGGCTGAAATTTATTACAAACTCCCCTGAATTTCAGAAGATGAGAAATAAGGTTGAAATTTGTTGAACGTAACGTAACGTCCATAGAAATGTAGAATTTCGAGTGATAGGAGAATAGCATTTATAACCCTTTTTAAGTGACGAATATCCAAAAAAAAAACACTTGACACCCCTAGGATCTAACTTACCCCCAAATTGTTTATGGATGTGAACAAAGATAGAAGATCCAAAAACTTTTACTGGAAATGTGGAAGCCATAGGTTTGAAAAATGGAAACTGCTGGAGAAAGACATCTCTAGGTGTTTGGAAGGCTAGAACATGACTGGGTAGGCAATTTATAAGATAGTAACAGTAAGTAAAGCTTCTCTCCAAAAATATTTTGGAACATTTGAAGAAAAAAGTAGAGAACAAGTCACCTCTAAAAGATGTTTGTTTTTCCGCTCTGCGACTCCATTTTGTTGTAGAGTGTCGACACGTGAACTAATATGGATAATGCCCTTTTCGGCAAAGAATGAACCCAAGGAATTTGTGAATTATTCTGTCCCGTTATCTCTCTTCAGAATATGAATTTTGAAGAAAATTGAGTGTGAACCATCAAATAAAACGCCTTAAAAATACGCTCTATTTCAGATTTTTGTTTCATTAGATATGTCCGAGTGGTCCGCGAATGGTCATCAATAAAAGAAATGAACCACCTAGCCCCAAAAATATTCTTAACAGGAGATGCACCCCAAATGTCTCTATGGATAAGAGAAACAGTTGAGATGGTTTATACGATGGAGGATAGGAATTGCCTTCATGTTTTGCCAACTCACATATGTCACAATGAAAAGATGATGAATTTTGATTAAGAAATAATTTGGAAACTAGGATTACCAAAGCAAAAGTGCCATAACACAAACATGGAAACTAGGATGTCATTTAAGTTTAAGGTAGACATAAGAGAAGAAACAAAAACATGATTGTTGGTGCAACTTGATAGGGCTCTTCTTTTAGGAGGAGATTGACCTTCAAGAATGTAAAGTCCACCACACAAATCAACACTTCCAATCACTTTCTCCGAGTCCAGTTCCTGAAAAAACACAACCAACAGAACTGAATTTAGTACGAAAAAGAAGATCAAGGCACAACCGACTAATAAATAACAAATTGCACTGAAGATTTGGAACATATAGAACATTTTGAAGTATAAGATCACCGTTAACAAACACTGATCCAACACCTTGAACAACAACTAAAGTTTCATCAGCAGTCTTCACATGTCTTTGAATGGTTGGCTGTGAAATCGTTAGAAACAGGGTGTGGTTTCCTGTCATATGATCAGTAGCATCAGAGTCGACTATCCATGAAGTAGCATAGAATTTGAGTGAAATGTGAAGTTACCAAACTGTGTTGTAGATGCAGAATTGGTTTCGACTGAAGAGAGTGTCTGCCGAATTAATTTTTTGAGATTCGCAAGCTGCTGCAAATTTAAGGTGGCTGAATTGTTTGCAGTGACTGAGGAAGAAGAAGACTCAGCCAGGTCAGTGGCTACTTCCGAAGAAGTGATGACCTTCGTGTAAAGGGGTTCTTTTTTTCTTTTTTTGGCTAGGTAGGAACATACCAAGCTGATACCGTGTAGTTTCTAGAGAAATAGAATTCTGATTTCTATTTCTTAACTTGGGTTCCAGAAAAGAAGAAAGTTCTCACCTTTTAAGGATCTTGTACAAGTTGTTTAACCTAATTCAAGTTCTATTTAAAATTTCAATTAGAGATGAACTAGGAAATATATCCTAAACAAACTAACAAACTATTTACAAAACAAAACAAATCTTATCTACAATCTACAGATGGATAAGAACATTAACATGTTGAACAAACGACATAAATTATCTACATTGTAAGTTGTGATTAAGGCAGGTGCCATAATGGAGATACGTGCTTATTCTTTCTTCTTTTCTCTATTGAATGTTTTGCCCTTTATAGATACTTTACTAACATTCTGTTATAATCAGTTAATCAAGATCAAAGGGCATTCACGTCTTTATAGTCAGTAGGTCTGCAGCATTTCCTGCTCACTTTCATGGCAACAGGACAAGAGCACTTTGAATCAATATTAGTATTTTTTCGGGCATTCCATGAAAGTTTATGGTGAGTCTCTTAGAATGAAGCATAGAGTGGAAGTGCTTTGCTGATGATGATTCTTACTATTTTTTCACTCCATTATCATCAAGTGTGTTCCAAGTTAACTACTCTGTTTTATATCATTTATACAGAAGTAATAATATTTGATGCAAAAGAGTGTCTAAAGTTAATGTGGTAGAATTTTTAAGTTGTGCAGTCCTAGTATTACATTGTCACACTTGTTCCCCTATTCTTTGGGTTACACTCTTTCAAGTCAAAAATAGTAATAGTAATATTTTGGTTATGTAAAACATATAGGAAAAATTATGTATTAATTATCAAAATTTTGGTAAGATCTGAACCAATTATGAAATAGCAGAGTTTTTAACTATTGATGATCATATTGATAGTTTCCAACTTCCCGGGAACTTAAGATTTTCTTGAACTATAATGTAAAAGATTGGCTTACACAATGGACTGTTGATAAAGAGTAAACAACATAGTGGAGAAGAAAAGGAACTCTTTTTATTATATATTGTGAATGGTGAAAATACATCTTTTTATAGGAAAAGTTAGGAGTAAGTTTTCTATTAGAAGTAAACTACTTAGTAGTTATCATTATCTATCTAACTTTCTAAGAGTTAGTGTGATATTAAAATACTAACTTATCTATTGCATAACCTACACTCCCCCTCAAGTTGGGGAGTAAATGTTGAAAAGACCCAACTTGGATATAAACTCATCAAAGGTAATTCTTGGAAGTGCTTTGGTGAGAATGTCTGCTAACTGATTCTTCGTTGAAACATAATTGACCTTCACCGTTTCACCATTCACCTTTTCAGAGATGAAATGTCTGTCAATCTCCACATGCTTCGTTAGGTCATGATGAACTGGATTCTTTGCAATACTTATTGTAGATTTACTGTCACTTTGAAGTTCAAACCATTTGTTGGCACATAACCCCAGCTCAATTAACATTCTTTGAAGCCAAATTCCTTAGCAAATTACAAGTGCCATTGCTCTAAATTATGCTTCTGCACTACTTCGAGACACCACCGCCTGTTTTTTGCTTCTCCAAGTAACCAGATTTCCCCAAACAAATGAACAATAACCAGTTGTAGATCTTCTATCCGTTAATTCACTTGCCCAGCTTAAATCCTGAAAAATTCTTACTGTTCTATCATCACTCTTTCTAAATATTAATCCATGTCCTGGTGTCATTTTCAAGTATCTTAGAATTCTATTCACAGCCTCTAAATGTTCTTCTCTTGGATCATTCATATATTGACTCACTATACTGACAGGGAACACAATATCAGGTCTAGTAAGTGATAAATAAATTAGTTTAGCTACTAGCCTTTGATATTGTTCTTTGTTCACGGGACTTCCCAATTCTTTTCTCCTTAGCTTCAGATTTGCTTCTATGGGTGTTTCAGCCGGCTTACATCCCTTCATTCCAGTTTCTGATAGTAAATCAAGGATATATTTCCTTTGGTTGATCACTATTCCTTCTTTTGACCTTGCAACCTCCATGTCTAAAAAATACTATAAAGTTCCCAAGTCTTTGGTTTCGAACTCCTTCGCCAGTAGCTTTTTCAATCTTTCTATCTTCATACAATCATCACATGTTAGAATGATATCATCCACATAGACAATCAAAATTGCCTTTTTGTTGTTTGAAGATGTTTTGACAAATAAAGTGTGATCTGATTGACATTGCTTATAACCATCCTGAATAATCACCTTTGTAAATCTGTCAAACCAGGCTCTTGGAGATTGCTTAAGTCCATATAAGGACTTTAGTAATCTACATGTTTTTCCTGTATTACTCTTCACACCCGGTGGAATTCGCATATATACTTCCTCCTCCAAGTTTCCGTTTAGAATTGCGTTTTTGATGTCTAACTGATGAAGCACCCAATTCTCATTAACTGCTAATGACAGTAACACTATCACATTTTTTAGTTTTTCTACCAGAGAAAATGTTTCATGATAATCAACTCCAAAAGATTGAGTGAATCTTTCGCCACTAATCTCGCCTTATATCTTTCAATGCTACCATCAGCTTTGTATTTTACCGTGAATACCCATTTGCAGCCGACTGGTTTTTTTTCTTTCGGAAGATCAACTATAATCCAAGTATTGTTGTTTTCCAGTGCTTTTAATTCCTCTTCTACTGCCTTTTTCCACTTGGGATCTTTCAATGCTTCTTCCACCGTATCTGGAACAGTAATGCTATCTACACTTGCTGCAAAATTCTTAAAACAAGGCATTAGCTTTCCATATGCAACAAATCTCTCAATTGGATAATTTTTGCATTTTCTTACTCATTTCCTTTGAGCAATCGACAAGTCATTATCATCAATTAAAACATTTAATTCAGTGGAAGAACTCTGATTACCTTCTTCATTCTCCAAAGGATTCTCGTTCAGTTCCGGTTCATGACAGTGTCCATGTTGTGTGGGAGACTTGGGATTAGGTTCAGGGATTGATTTAGAAATTGGTTTTTGTCATCTCTTGTAAATCTACAACTCGGATTGAGGTATTTGAGGCGAAGTGATATGTTGATCATGCGGAGGTAAATGTGTTTCGGTGGACTAGTTTGGCAAGGATACGTTTTCTGGGTTCGGTAGTGTTGTTTGGTCTGGCTATAGCAATTTTGTAGGATTATTCGACTGGGTTGACGGTGTTAGTTGATCAAAAAGAGCTGGCTACAAATCAAGTGACAATTGTTGTGAGTCAATAAACTGATATTCATTATTTGACTCCCCTGAATAGCAGCTTTAAGGAAAAAATGTGTTTTTTCAAAGAAAGTAACGTCCATAGTAATAAAGAATTTCTTTGTACGAGGATAATAACACCGAAAGCCCTTTTGAGTCGATGAATAACCCAGAAACACACACCGAAATGCTCGAGGATCTAATTTGGACCTGAAAGGAACATTATTATGAACGAACACAGTACAACCAAAAACTCTAAGGGGTAACAATTAAGTCATCGATTTAAAATTGGGAAAAAACTGAAGAAAAACATCTCTCGGACACTTAAATTGTAACGGTTTACTAGGGAGACGGTTAATCAAATAAGTGGCAGTTAAAAGGGCTTCCCCCCAAAAATAGTTAGGAATATTTGTGGAAAAAAGTAGAGACCGAGTAACCTCAAGAAGATGCCTGTTTTTTCGCTCATCAATCCCATTTTGTTGAGGAGAATTGACACACGAAGTAAGATGAATAATCTCAGTTTCCTGAAAGAAAGAACCCAAAACATTGGCAAAATACTCACTATCATTGTCAGAATGAAACATTTGGATTGAGCACTAAAATTGGGTTTCAACCATCTTATGGAACCGTTTAAATATTTCACAGGCTTCAGATTTGGTTTTCATGAGAAAGGTCCAGGTAGTACGAGTGTGATCACCAATAAATGAAATAAACCACCAAACCCCATGTAAAGATGCGACCCGAGATAGTCCCCAAATATCACTATGGATCATGGTAAATGGTTTGGACGGTTTATATGGAGAAGGTAGATAAACACTCCTAGTTTGTTTAGCAAGTGGACAAATATCACAAGAAAAAGATTTTGGACTCTTATTGACAAACAAATGTGGAAACAATTTTTCAAGATAAAAGAAACTGGGATGTCCTAAACGAAAATGCAATAATATAACATCGATTGAAGGTTCAAGTAAAGGAAATTGTTGTATAACATGGTAGGAAGTAGATGGGTGGGAAAATAAAGTTGTTAGAAGTAGGTAAAGACCCCCACAAAGCCTAGCACTGCCAATCACTTTCCCCAAGCTAGAATCCTAAAATTAACAAAAATCAGAGTTAAATTTCGTGATACAGCATAAATCGGCAGACAACTTGCTAATAGAGATAAGATTGCAAGCAAGATTGGGAACATAAAGAACATGAGATAACAAAATGTCCTGATTTATTCGAATAGACCCATGACCGGCAACACCGGATAGAGAACCATCAACTGTTCGAATATGAGAGATAAACGAGTGGCATAAAAAGTGTGAAAGAGTCGAAGATCACCTGTCATATGATCACTTCTACTAGAATCCACAACCCAAGTAGGAGTGATGGATGTATTAGCCAAAGTAGCAGAAGGAATTCTACATGCATGTACTGATTGGGAATGAGTGTTTAACTGACTAAAAAACTGCTGCAACTCTTCCATTTGTTTTTTAGTAAACGAACTTCCTTGTAAATCAGTATTCACAGCAAAGTTGTCTTGAGTATCACGTTGTTGATGTTGTTTTGAAGACTTCCCATCAGTAGGCTTGCCATGTAATTTCCAACAGGAATCCCGCAGATGGCCAACCTTCTTACAATAGTCACACCAAGGTCTCCCCTTCTTTGGTCGAGTAGTAGTTTGAGAGTGAGGGATATAATTGTCACCATTCAATCGGTGACAGGTGATAGAGGCTGAAGAAATATCAGAATGGGGTGAATTAATGAGGATTTCTGAAGTGACCTCCGATGAAGAAGTGGTGGAATTCATTATTGACGGCTAGATTTAGGGTAAAAAAAAGAAAAAGAAAAAAAAAATCGGCTAGATTTAGGTGAAGGATCGGTCACCTAGCTGATACCATGTTGATAAAGAGTAAACAACATAGCGGAGAAAAAAGGAACTCTTTTTATTATATATTGTGAATGGTGAAAATACATATTTTTATAGGAAAAGTTAGGTGTAAGTTTTCTATTAGAAGTAAACTACTTAGTAGTTATACTTATCTATCTAACTTTCTAAGAGTTAGTGTTATATTAAAATACTAACTTATCTATTGCATAATCTACCTGGACTCATTGCTAATTCATCTGACACAATTGCCGAAAGAAAGTTTATTTTAAGGAAATCTAGATAATTTGATGATAAAGGGAAGAAATAGTCATTGTAACAATTCACGTGGCTGTTAAATGATATTTTCACTTCCTCTTGTTTTGATCAGACTAGAAGAATTTCGTCAAATAGCTATTTACCCAAAAGAGATTCATAAACATGTATAGATGTATGTGTCATTTCATAGGTTATTCTCAGATCATTTTCCTTGCTGCTTCTGTTTGAAGCTAAATGTCTACTGGATGGTCTATTCTTTTGGCTTTCAGCAACTTTCCATATAATTTTGAAGTTGAAATCATTGTGTACTGTTTTGGCTTTAGTATCAGACTTAGTTCCTATTTAATAATGTTGGATGAAGTAGGAAAAGTAGAATAAAAAGCAATAGAAGCTGGATTTTTGTAGAACTGAAGTTGGAACGAGAACAATAAGGTTTGTGTTATAACTTTTAAATGTTTGAAACTCGTTGCACGACTTAATAAATCATACATATTAGAATTACAGGAGCTTTTTGTTCTTTCCCTTTGTTACAAATAAAAAACTCATATTCTCTGAGTCATAAAATCATTTAAAGGTTTCATGCACAGCCACTTACCCAATAATTAAAAAAACATAATTCCGGACAAAAAGATTAATTACCAAAATAAGGATGCTAGTGAATCAAAGAGATTATGTAACTGTGCAAGTGAGGACCGTATGTCCTGCAAATGCTGGAGCTGAACTTTTCTTCCCGAATCCTAGTCTTTCCTCCGTGGCAATGACCTTATGTTTTTTTTGGGTCTGTTGACTGACCTATTGATCAGATTTCTGAACTTGTGACTTGTTCCATGCGCATGTCTTGCAGTTTTTTGCTTCGCATGATTGGTATAATATAAACTTCATATTAACATCATGTTTGTGCTGTAGCTTATATAGTTTTCTCCTCCCCTCATTTTGAAGGTACAAGAAAAGACTGAGTTGGAAGAAGTCCCGTGTTTTCAAGGATCATACATATGGAAATATTTAGCTATCCCAGGATACATCTCCCAGGTTAGGCAAGCTTGATCTGGCTTTCTTACCACTATATAATTTGATTTATTTTTAAAATCCAAATGTTAAATACGTGAATTTACTGAAAGAAAAATTATACTGTGTAGTTCTTATTAGAGAATTGAAATTGTAGTTTTTCTGTAGAACAGATACAATTTATTTGGGCAGAAAATAGTTCTCAATTTGTTGTTCACTTGTTCTTTTATTGATATTAATTGTATACCTTAATCCAAGACATCTGCCATTTCAATGACAATTCATCCCTATAATTTTAAGCTTATAAAACATTCCTCCCAAACCGAGTGACTCGCCTAGTATTTGTTTGTACTTCTGCAATTTTTGCGTATTTCGCCTTGCTTTCCTGTTAGAACTTCGATATTTCCCATTCGACTCATGGAAAGAGCAAGCAATCTCCTGAAATCTTCGAAGTCAGCTGCGAATTCTTCAGTGATATGCTTAGTATCATCACCATAGACTAGCTGCCGATCAACTCCGAGGACAGTTTCATGGGTCAAGACTCTGGAGTAGTAGGAGTTGGTGAAAGTATATTTTCCGTGGCATTTTAGTATTAAAAGCTTGAATAAATAAGCATTCTCCTAATGTCTCATAAATCATTTTTTTCTATTTTAACCATTTTTCTATTTGAAAGAAACTGA